GACCCCCCCCCCCTCCAGCCACCAGCCTCTCCACCAGTGTTAGACGTCACAGCTACAGTATGTACTTAATTACACTACGTTATTGCTGGGATTCCTTATAAGCACTAATTATACCTGATTGTAGGTTAAAGTATTGACTTTGTCAAGATGTCTCCTTGCGGGTGTGTTTAAGCCCTTCTGCGCTCTGTGCCGAGACGTGAAAACTGGTCCTCTCCTCGTGCCTCTCTGGCCGGTGGGCAGCAGCAAATGGCACTAGGCGCAGCGTGACCCGGGCACCCGCGGGCCCTTGGCCAGCCTACCCCAGAGCTGCCCCTGCCCGGGACCCCCAGGCACCGTGCAGGCCAACCGGCCCAGGTGACACGTGAGCTTTTCAGTACGCGCGGGGCAAGGGCCGCAGAGCTGCAGCAGCTCGTCGCTGGCTGGGCCAGAGGGCAAGGTGGCCGTCTGCCGTCTGTCCTCCTGTCTCTCTGTCAGCCCCCTCAGCGTGAGCGACCGTGTTGTCTGCCCTGGGCCACGCTGCCTTGGCTCGCTGCCCTCCCCCTCCTTAGCCAGGGTCCAGAGCAAGGGGCCTGGGGAGGCGTGAGGCCTGGGCCTTCCCTCAAGGCCCCAGTGGGGAGAGGGGACCGGTGGCAGCAGGCACCCAGACTCGGCTTTTCCCGTCCCTTCGTGCTGCCACAGCCCCGCTTGCCTCCGCACGCTTCTAACTCAGTCCAGCCCAGCCTTCCAGAGGGTCCGAGGGGGCTGTGGGCTGGCGAAGGGGAAGCACCGTGGAGGGCGGCAGTGCTCTGCACCGGCTGCCGCCAGGTCCGGGCCCCTCCCCCATCCCCAACGTGGGCAGACCCGGCTTCGCCCCCCGGGCTGAGCGTGTGCACCCAGAAGATGCCCGGTGGCCCTCGCCTCTCCCAGTGCCCTGCTCCAGCCCATGCTGTCCCTGGGGCACCCTGGGAACAGCTGTCAACCCCGGAGTCTCACTGCATCTCTCCAGGCACTCCTGGAGGGAGGGTGGGGTGGGGTGGATGTTTATTTCCTCGAGTTTGCACTTGATTTGTGAGGGTTCTCAGGTTTGTTGTCCGGCGTCCCCCAGCCTGGCGGTCTGTCACCGTCTCTGCCGGAAGACTCCTGTCTCTAGAGGGGAGTCAGCGACACCAGAGCGTCTGTCCACCCACTGGCTCTCCTTCCAGACATGTCTGTCTAGTTTGGGATATTGCATGTAAAATACTCCACAATAAACAAACAGACTGTTGCTGTGTGATCTCTGTCAAGTCGGCGGTGACTGTCCGGAGGGCCAGCCAGATCTGACCACCTGCTTTCTCTAGGCAGCGGTGGAGTGGGCCCTGCTGGAGGGAGCAGGCAGGGAAGCTCACCACCACACGCGGCCCCGGGCCTCGAGCAGCCCCTACCCTGGAAGGCCCCTCCCCCCCCTTGCCTGTCCCTGCTTGGCCACCCTGGGGCACCGCCTGCTTTGGGGGCTTCGGTTGGAGCGGCTGTAAACCTGCCACAGCCTGCCTGACAGCTCAGACCAGGGGCCGGGGTTCTTCATCTCTCACCGGGTCCCAGGAGCATCCAGGTGAGCCACCTCAGCGCCCCCCGCTGGGCTCCCCGAGCGTGGCTGGCTGCTGGATTTGAGAGCCACTGCTCCCCTTTTCTGGAACAGCTTTACTGAGATGTAGTTCACGTAACATGAATTCACCCATTTAAAGTGTATGTATGATTAGGGACTTCCCTGGTGGCACAGTGATTAAGAATCCGCCTGCCAATTCAGGGGACACGGGTTGGAGCCCTGGTCCGGGAAGATCCCACATGCCGCAGAGCAACGAAGCCCGTGCGCCACAACTACTGAGCCTGCGTGCCACAACTACTGAAGCCCTCGCGCCACAACTGCTGAGCCCGCAAGGCACAACTACTGAGCCCACGTGCCACAACTACTGAAGCCCTTGCGCCTAGCGCCCGTGCTGTGCAACAAGAGAAGCCATTGCCATGAGAAGCCCGCGCACCGCAACGAAGAGTAGCCCCTACTCGCCACAACCAGAGAAAAGCCCGCGTGCACCAACGAAGACCCAACGCAGCCAATAAATAAATAAATAAATAAAATAAAATAAATAAGAGAAGCCACCGCCATGAGAAGCCCGTGCACCGCAACGAAGAGTAGCCCGCCCCTGCTCGCCACAACCAGAGAAAAGCCCGCATGCAGCAACGAAGGCCCAACGCAGCCAAAAATAAATAAATTTATAAAAAAATTTAAAAAGTGTATGATCAGGTAGTTTTTAGCACATTCAGAGTTGTGCGACCCTCACCACAATCAATTTTAGAGCATCTTCATCACCCCCAAAAGAACCCCCTACTCTTTAGCAGTTACCCCCGTCAGCCCCCTATCCCTTTTAAAAAGGGTTTGCGTCTCCTCTCCTGTGCGGGGAGCTGGTGCAGGCGGCGGTCCTCTGGGAAGCAGGCCTCTCCCTAAGGCTCAGGGGCCGTGGGGGGCCTATGCCTTCTCCAGGTGGCTTAGGGGAGGTGGGGAGCCCTTTAATCCCTTCACCTCCCAGGGTTCAAGGATGCACCTCAAGTGGGATGGACTCATCAAGCCCCCAGGTGAGCCTGGAATAAATGCGGAGACATCTGCCCACGTCTCGTGCAGGTGAGAAGACTGAGGCCCGGACGTTTGCCTGGGATCAGCAGCA